AAAAAAAAGAAGTTTAAGGAAAGTTATTATTTGTAATAGACAGTTATGTAAATTCATCAAGATATGCTAAAAAAATTTTCTCTCTGGACTGGCAGAAAATATGACAGATACACTGTGCTTCTTTTCTTCCTTTGTTCTTTCCATTTCTTACATTACAATAAATATAAATGATGTTAAAATTCTATAATTTTAAGCAAATGCTAAGATTCCAATCAGTCCTCTTTCTTTCCCTTTAAAAGACACTCTGTTATTTGGAATTCTGAATAGAAAAAATGTATTTGTATGTTTTTTCTCTTTTGCAGAGGGGTTACAAATCATATCCCATAGTTGGATAATACTAATTGTCTTAAGTTATTTAGGCTTTGCAATGCTGGGCAGTCCTTCTCAGCAGATGCCTGATTTCTTTTCCTCACTGCTGCTATGTGACTGCCCCAAACCATAGGAATTGATGCAATGTCCCTGAATGGGAGTATGCAGCAAGATGAAAGATAGGCAAAGGGTCCAAAATAAGGTATTTGCACCTGGCTAGAAGGCAGGAGCCCCAAATGCAGCTGCAGCTGCTGATGGAGAGGACTGCACTTCAGACGAGAGGTTAGAGATAGATCAAGACTTAAGATCTGGACAATTACAGGGCTGCTTGCAACTTTGGAACATTCCTTTTCTCTGGGGAAATGAGATGAGAGAAGAACAGGATTTAGGTCTGAGCCTTGGGGAAATCTTTGCTGCTGCGGTCTGGAAAGAGCAGAAGTGGAATCAGGAACTGCCATGCCATGGTGGAAGTCACCAAATGTTATGCATCTTCTACACTGGATTTTTGAGCTAAATAGCCTTAGTTTTGTTCCTGGAGGATAAAGGGTCTAGGCACTATAATCCTCATGACTGTGTTAGCCTTTACAGGAGATATAATAGATGTAAAATGATGTTTATGGTTTTCAAGGAAGAGACCCCTGAGATTGGATTTTAATGTGGGTAAAAATCATCTTACAGACCTTATATGAGTTGAAATTGTATAGTTTTTCCTAAGCTATTTGTGTGAGTCCAGGAGAATCAGCTTAATAACATTTCTAACTCTTATTTATAATTGCTTCTTTTTCCAGTGGTTATGAACAAAATTTAAATATATTTGAAGTGAGGTTATTATTAGATTTTATAAATTATTTTAATTTGATTAGAAATAAATTTACCAGTGGAAGAAACAAAAGAGCAAATGGTAGAAAACAGTAAGTGTATTTTCAATTTTTCACACTGTGTTTTAGGTCATGCTCTACCTTATGAATATGTGCAATGGTCATGCAAGTAAATTTTATATACGTCTATAGTGGAATTGTTAGTGAAGACTCTACAAGAAAAGAGCAGTTACAATGCATTCAAGTTTGCGTTATCTGTAGCTTGGTAAACATTTTGAAGTACATGCCATGTTTCTCAGTGAAATTGTAGGAATGACTTCATAGAAAGATACCGAAATAAGTTAATATATTTATTATTTGTGTCTTGCATAGAAGTAAAACATGCACTGATGTGTAAAATGAAAATTCTTGGTGAACTAACTCTCTTTTCTCTTGGGAATTCAAGTGGCTTAGCAACTTACATTCTTAGTCCAAAATAAAAAGATTCTATTTTTTTTTTCATTCTTCATCTTCCTCCTCTTTCATGCACTGTAAAAAAAAAAAATCAACATCTGTGGGAAAATGTTTTACTTGCAGTTGCACTTATCTTAGAAAGATTAGGGTGGATTTAGTAAACCAAACAGGATAGCTGTTGGTTGCTTTCTGTCAGGTTCATAGTTGAATATAGTGGTAGGTCATATTAAGACCTTGCAATAAACAACTTGTCCAGTGACACTCTTTGATACTACATAACCAGCAGCTGAGTCATGATTTAGGTGACATAAAAGGCATGTGGGATTCTGCTTTTGATTTTTTTTTAAACAGGCCCTACTGTGTAGCCTAAGTTAGCCTCAAACTCATGGCAGTCCTCCTGCCTCCACCTCCACAATACAGGGATTAAAGACATGAGCTACTATGCATGGTTCAGTGGAATTTAAATATTTTCTTCTTTGAAAATGCTTAAACTATGAATTAAAAAGAAATGATTGGAATCCAAGCATACTTTAGTATCTAAAAAACCTAAGGACTTTGCAGCTGGAACCTCAAGAGCAACGTGACTGCCAGGCATACAGATTTTTTTTCTCAGATTCTCAAAACCTCATTGGATTTGAGGATATTTTTCAAATCATAAGACTTTGAAGAAAAAGAAAGCCTTGGAGCCTAGAATGTACCAGGTAGTAGAGTCTAGAAGTTATATTCTTGTATGTGATTCCTAAATATCTTTCCTGAATTTCCTTAATTACTTAAATATGTGGATCCACATCCCAGTCTTAAACTTATGACTTTTGCATCTCTTGTTGAAAGAATTTTATTTAACTTCATAATTTCTACCTACATTGTATGACATACATTTCCTAATATTTATTTTATGTTCTAAATACAATATGATTTATTATCAAAGAAGAGCAAAACAGAGCACTAAGAAAGTTCTGGAATAAGATCAACTAGGTTTATTTTTTATTTTTTATTAATTACACTTTATTCACTTTGTATCCCCCCATAAGCCCCTCCCTCCTCCCCTCCCAACCCCACCTTCTTTCCCCTTCTTCATGCATGCCCCTCCCCAAGTCCACTGATAGGGGAGGTCCTCTTCTCCTTCCTTCTGATCTTAGTCTATCAGATCACATCAGGAGTGGCTGCATTATCATTTTCTGTGGCCTAGTAAGGCTGCTCCCCCCTCAGGGGAAGGTGAGAACTCTCTGTAGAGGAATATCGAATGGCAGAGAAACACTTATAGAAATGCTCAACCTCATTAGCCATTAGGGAAATGCAAATCAAAACGACCCTGAGATTTCACCTTACACCCATCAGAATTATTTATATTTTTATAAATTACAGTTTGTTCACTTTGTATCCCAGCTGTACCCCCTCCCTTATACCCTCTCAATCCCACGCTCCCTCCCTCATCTTCTCCCATGCCCCTCCCAAAGTCCACTGGTAGGGGAGGTCCTCCTCACCTTCCTTCTGACCCTAGCCTATCAGTTCTCATTAGGACTGGACATTGTCTTTCTCTGTGGCATGGTAAGGCTGCTCCTCCATCATTGAGAGGTGATCAAAGATCCAGCCACTGAGTTCATGTCAGAGACAGTTCCTGTTCCAATTACTAGGGAACCCAGTTGGAGACTGTGCTGCCTTGAGCTACATCTACGCAGGGGCTCTAGGTTATCTCCATGCATGGTTCTTGGTTCGACTATCAGTCTCAGAAAAGGCCCCTGGGCCCAGATTTTTTGTTCTGTTGCTCTCCTTGTGGAGTTCCTGTCCCCTCCAGGTCTTTATATCTCCCCATTCTTTCATAAGTTTCCCTGCACTCTGCCCTATGTTTGCCTATGAGTCTCAGCATCTGCTTTGATACTTTGCTGGGTAGAATCTTTCAGAGGTCCTCTGTAGTAGGCCCCTGTCCTATTCCCTGTTTTCTCCCTCATCCCATGTCCAACCTGTTTGCCTTTCTGAGTGAAGATTGATCATCTTATCCAGGGTCCTCCTTCTTGCTTAGCTTAATTAGGTGTACAGATTTTAGTATTTTTATATTATATGTCTAACAACCACTTATAAGTGAGTATATACCATGCGTGTTTTTCTTCTGGGATTCCTCACTCAGGATGATCTTTTCTAGGTCCCACCATTTTCATGATTTCCTTGTTTTAATTGCTGAGTAGTATTCCATTGTGTAAATGTTCCACAATTTCTGTATCCATTCCTCAGTTGAGGAACATCTGGTTTGTGTCCAGATTCTGGTTATTACAAATAAAGCTTCTATGAACATACTTGAGTAAATTTCTTTGTTGTATACTTGAGCCTCTTTTGGATATATGCCTAGGAGTGCTATAGCTGGATCTTGAGGAAAAATTAATCCTAATTGTCTGAGAAAGTGCCAGATTGATTTTTTAAAGTGGTTATACAAGTTTACCTTCCCAGCAGCAGTGGAGAAGGGTTCCCCTTTCTCCACAACCTCTCCAGCATGTGTTGTCCCTTGAGATTTTCATCTTGGCCATTCTGATGGGTGTAAGGTGAAATCTCAGGGTCGTTTTGATTTGCATTTCCCTGATGACTAAGGATGTTAAGCATTTTTTTAAGTGTTTCTCTGCCATTTGATATTCTTCTATTGAAAATTTTCTGTTTAGATCTATACCCCATTTTTAATTAGATTATTTGATTTGTTGCTTTTTAATTTCTTGAGTTATTTATATATTCTGGATATTAGCCCTCTGTCACATATAGGGTTGGTGAAGATCCTTTCCCAATCTGGGGCCTATAGTTTTGTTCTAATGACAGTGTCCTTTGCTTTACAGAAGCTTTTCAGTTTCATGAGGTCTCATTTATTGATTGTTGCTCTTAGAGCCTGTGCTGTTGCTGTTCTGTTCAGGAAGTTGTCTCCTGTACCGATGAGTTCTAGGCTCTTCCCCACTCTTTCTTCTAACTGATTTAGAGTATCTGGTTTTATGTTGAGGTCTTTGATTCACTTGGACTTTAGTTTTGTGCAGGGTGATAAATATGGATCTATTTTCATTTTTCTACATGTAGACATCCAGTTAGACCAGCACCATTTGTTGAAGATGCTGTCTTTTTTCCATTGTATGGTTTTGGCTTCTTTGTCAAAAGTCAAGTATCCATAGGTGTGTAGTTCTATTTCTGGGTCTTCTATTTGATTCCATCAATTCAATGCAGTTCTTTTTAAGTGGTTACATCCACATGTGCAAGGCACTTCATGTCTCCTAGTCTCAGTTTCTTCTGTTGGGAGATGAAGATGAGAAGAGGATCAATTTTACAGGGCTGTCAGAAAAAGAACATGGCTAGCCCTTGTGATTGTTGGCTCCTAAAAGCTCAGGCAATTTCTTTCAGCATATCAGAATTTTAGAAATACTAAATAAAATTTTGTCTAAATTTTACTATTAGGGTCGGTGCATTCGCGAGAACTGCAAGTACCTGCACCCTCCGCCACACTTAAAGTCGCAGCTGGAAATTAGTGGGAGAAACAATCTGATTCAACAGAAGACTGCCGCAGCCATGTTCGCCCAGCAGATGCAGCTTATGCTCCAAAATGCTCAGATGTCATCCCTTGTAAGTGCATGTGTGATATCCTAGCTGCTGTATGACTCTTCTAGTACAAGCTGCTCTTGCATACCAGCACCATGTCTTTTGTGAAAGCCTGTATGCTGACATTGGGATAATTCGGCAGGCCCTTTTTAAAGTGTGGTACTACAAGATTTAGGACAGTGCTTGTGTGCTGATTACCAGTCCAGAGCTGTTCCTATGAAGAAAGCAATCACATGTGTTGGATTAAAAACCTGGCTGCATTTGTATAGGGTGTGAGTTTCTAAAAGTACATTAAATGAAAAGGAGCTTTGTAAAGATGAGGAGGAGATGAGCTTTGTGAAGTTTATTGCACAGAAACCTTTGACCTGTAGAACATTAATTCAAACAAAGTTCTATATATTTGGTAATTTTGTTGTTTGTTGCTGTGTTGTTGGTTTTGAAGTGAAGCTTCATTATGGTCTCAAAACATGATATCTTCCTGCCTCAGCCTCTCAAACACTGGAATTTATAAGCATGTGCCACAATGCCTGGATTTGTGATTGCTTTTAAATAAACTTTCTTTTAAAATAATTTTAGATTTAGAAAAAATTCAAAAGTATAAGAAAGAGTTATTGTTTTATTTTTTAATTTTTGCCCAGTCTTCTTTCTTTTTTATTTTTTTGTGAGGTAGGAGGGATTTGAACATAGTAGGTAGGAGCTCTAGTTCTGGGCTGTACAGCTAACCTTAAAACTTGAGTTTTTATCAATGGGTGTAATGAAATCTAAGGCCTTGTGCATGCTCTACAAGCATAATACTATTGGGCTGTATTCCCCGTATACACAGATAATATTTTTATTATATATACCCTATGTTTTATTCATATTTCATTAACCTTTTCCATTTATGTGCTCTTTATTTCAGTGTCCAATCTAAGGTAGCATGATGCATTTATTTAATTGTTCATTTTCTGTCCTGTGGTCATTTCTGTCTGTTATCATTTCTCAGTTGTTTCATATTTCCTATGAGCTCTACCTTTAAGAATGAAATTATGCCCTATCTATTCATATTATGCTTTTAAGAATTAATCTTGTCCTGACACCTTAAAATACAAAGTTTTGTCTTTGTCAAGCACCTTAGAGGAGAAATTGAAAATTGTCGCCACTCTGCTACAATTTTTCGCATCTCCAATCTAACTCAGTGGTTTCTCATTCAAATTCCGTCTAGCATGCTTCCTTTAAACCATTAACAAGACCAATTTGAAAGGACTGTGCTTCTTTTGTTACTCATTCATCAGTGACTATGCCTGAAAATTGATAGTTATCCATGGCATTTAGATGAAGTAAAAATATGGGAGTGGGACAGTCTGCCCTCAGTAAAGCTCATTAGAGAAAGGATTCTGGAGGCCCCACACATTGCCACATGCCTGTAATTCCAGCACTAAAGGAGGCAGAGGCAGGGGGATCTCTGTGAATTCAAGGCCAGCCTGGTCTACAAAGTGAGTCCAGGACAACCAAGGCTATACAGAGAAACATTGTCTTGATTCCCCCCCCCAACAAAAACAAACCCAATACCCCAAAAACATAGATTCTGAGATTTTAAGAAGCAGCATGTAAATATAACCTTCTGTCTAGTATATCTGTGAACATAAGCCCAGACATTGGAGGCTATTGAATACTTGATGTTTTTCTTCATGATGTTTCCAGACTATCTGGAGAGATTAAAATAAGAGAGATTCCATGTTCTGCACTATTAGTTTGCCAAATATATTTGCCTTCAAAGTCGGTGCTGATAATTACATTGATCAACTAATTCTCATGTAACCAATGAGGTCCTTAAAGCTCATTTGACCTTCAATAACGTTTCACATGAACAAAGTCTTTCTTGAACGCCTCTGGGCTTTTGTATGCTGAAGGATCACAGTTCCTCCCTGCTCACCCGTCTGGGAAGAAGCTGGGAATAAAGTTCAGTGAAAAGTAGATATGTTTGTTGAATCCAGAAAATGTAAGTACATGGTAATAAACCAAAGCAATTTTTACTGTTTTCCACCTTATTATGCTTTAATTGACAAAATGCGTATACTTCGGGTATAAATGTGATGATTTATACATATAATGCATATATACTTCTTTTATAAAATGAGACAGCATGGATTAACCTAAAGGATATAATGCCATGCGGAACAGATCAGATTGAGAATGACAAATACTGCATGGTTTCACTTATATGTAGAATCTCAAAAATGTTGAGCTCATAGGAACAGAGAATAGATTGATTATTGCTAGAGTCTTCAGATGAGGGGAGGGAGAGGTTGGTCAAAATTTGACTATGACAAAGAAGTATTTAATTCACCATTGCTATTCTCAGACTCTTATGGGAATGAGCAAGGAATGCAGCAAGATTTTACTAACACTTGAGCCCAGCATATCCTATAGTGGCAGAGCAGATATTTTTTTAAAGGTTGTGGTACAGCCTCAGAGCACCAGTGTGATGCCTTGTTTCCGGGAACCAGAAAGCCAGGCATAGGGTGAATTAGGGGGAAGAAAGAAAGACAACTATGTTCTTTCTATTCAGACTGTGAGACCCTTTCTCTTTCAACTCTTCACTCCTTCATGTAGAAATTATTAAAGTGGCATATACTGGGAAAATAGGGGGAGGTGCTTTAAAAGAAATGAGTAAGAGGACATTCATTCAGTTTTGAAAGTTCTTCAATTGTGCTTTCTAATTTGCTTCTCCATGAGTTTCATAATAGGTTATATTTCCCTTTTTTCTTCAGTAAGGATAATTCCAGATCTCAGGCTTAAGATAACTCATATGACTCACCAGAGTACAATTTATTTTATGACATATTACAATATATAAGAATTATATAGAAGATCCATGAGGAACAATTAGAAATTGCTTTCTTTCTCCCTCATATTGTTTAGTGATAGCTGTTGTGATGTGATAAGTTAATATAGATTAATTTCTGCATCTGTTATGTATACAAAAATCTAATCTTGAAATGGTTGATATGTTCCTCCTCTACGGTTTAGGAAGTTGCTTTGTAGATATGCTGTAATTGAGTTGTAAATGTGCAGTTTTAAGTGAAATTTATCAGTCTCATCTGGAAGAAATCTCTTTAATATGAATTCCAATCTCAATATTACAGAGGTAATGTATGATTTTGCTTAATTTCGGTGGTACCGACTCTTCCTATAAACTGTTCTCTTTCTCTCTTTTAATCACTCCCTTACTACTAATTTGATACTTATCCTTAGAATATATTTTGTTTAAAATTTTCTCGTCTTGTGTTTGTTTGATAGCACCTTAATAACCATTTGTATCGCTGGCTTGAACTTCAGGTCTTTCCACAAAGCATACTTTGATTTGTTTCTAGGATACCAGAAAAGTGCTTCTGCCTTTGGAAAATTGAATATAGCTTGCTTATTATAAACCCCAAGATAAAGGGAATGTCAACTTACAAAGAATGAGAGTGAGAGAATAGATTCTGTTCAGTATAACTGAACAATGAATAAAAACCACACCTAGACAATTGAGGTGGAATGCTTGCTATACCAGGCGAGTTTGTTCACTGTGTTTAACAGGTCTGTACTGACATTCGATACTGTAAAGATCTACCTTTGAAAGCTTTTTGTTGGCTTTATTAAGAAATTTTAGCAGGTGGAGCAAACAATGTGGCTCCCTAGCATTTCCCAATGAGTTTAAGAAGCCATTGTTCTGATGCTCAGACTCCATTTGTATTGTAAGAAGGTAAAAGAATACTGTAGAAGACAGTAGTAGGCCTACCGGAAAACCCTCAAACAAAGCAAAATTTTAAAAAAAGATTCAGCTTCACAATGAAGATTTTTACTCATAGGAAAGGATTCTCACTACTGCAGATGACGCATATACATATAAAGTAAATTTAATGATATATAATACTATAAACATTTTCTTTAGACATGCTATATGCCTGGACCTATATCAGGAAATTCCTTTACTTCTTCTTGGAAGAAGTAGTAATTGAAATAAAAACAGATCTTGACATACAGGTGACCTTGACCTAGTGAAATATAGTCACCTGATGATTAATGGAGAGGGTGTTGGCTCAGCACATCTGAGGTCCCATTGCAGTGTGCCAGGCTCTCTGGCTCTGGCTCTTTTATATGCTTTCCATGGCTTTCATTGTGACTAAGTTAAGTCCAAAACACAAATGCTATAACTAGTCCATGGTTTACCTTCATCTTGGGTATCTCAGATTGAGTCTGTTGTGACCCATGCCCAACATTTTAAGTCATAGTTATATGTAATACACATATATTTCTCTAAAACAATATTGTGTGTTAATGTAATAAGAAGCAGGTTTTGTAGCCTTTCGGGAACAGGCAAAAAAAAAAATTGAAAGTTGAAGGATAAAGGGGGATGTACTAATTAACTCTGTCCTAGTAATTGTGGACTCCAGTATTTTCACTGTTTATCCTCTTAATGTTTTAGAACAGTTTTAAGTGGAAATAAAATTGGAGAATATTTATTTATTTTTCAATTTTTGAAAATCAGTAAATAACTAACAATTTGAACATAAGAAAAATCCCCATTTTGAAATCTTATATTAGAGTTACAACTTTGTACTTGATATAAACTCTCTTTATCTACTAATAGGTTGATGCTATAAAGAGTAGTTATTGACATGGTCCTTTTATAAAAATATCTATGACAGGATGAGCCAGATATTTTCTGAATTGAATGGAAAATGAAACTAGGTCCAGTTAGCACCAGAACAAACTTTTACTAAACTAGAGCCAATGAGGGCCTTCCCTAAATGCTGTAATACTGAAGACATAAATACTCAGATCCACAATTGGATACTATGTAGTTTGTTGTAGGACTTAATGACAAATGTGTAATCATAAATGGCAGCCAGACCAGTTAGAACCCTGAGATTTGATTCAGAGGAAACAATATACATATTGGTTAAGTGAATAATTTTAGTCTAGGAGGAATATGCGTAGTTTATCATAAACCAGTACCAAAAATCCTAGCATATTCCCACTGCCAGGTCCAACTT